GAAAGAGTTGTTGAATTTGCTAGAGTGGCTCAAGCATTTTCAACTTATATTGTAGATTTTCTTCATACAATAGTCTCTTGGGGTTGAAATGTGGTCGATGGAATAGGGTTCTCTTAGTTCTGAAATATAATTTAATCATAAATATTGAGATTTGCTAGGATATCTTGGTCACTTCAACCTGGTCAGAGTTTTTGATAAAATGCAAGAATCAATTGTCGAATTCATCCCAAGTGCTTAACCTGTTGGATTGAGACTCAATTCTGGTTTATATCTCTAACAATGATATTTATTGAAATAGAGCTACAATGTGCGACCATGGATGTGTCTATCAAAACATTAGAGAGTATACTTAAAATGTTATTTTTTGGCAGTGAAAATGAAGATTTAATATGCCTTGCTTTTCATAAGTAGTTATGTTTTGTGATGATTTATTTGTTTGATGCTTAAGTAATTTGTTTTTGACATATACATCAGGTGTTTACTTGGGTTATCATGGTGTTCCATACACATATGTGCTTCCATCTGTTGCACCTGCGCCATACAATGCAGTGAATTACAGACCAAATGGTGCGGCTGCAGGAAAGTTCCAGAACAATAAGGTTTTTCTCATTCCATTGACTTAATCTTGTTTGAAGTTTTTGATGTGGTTTAGTTGCCATGTTTTTAGACACATGCACGCACAAAAACAAGATTTTAAATTCTCATGGCACTTGATGACATCATCATGATGGAAGTCTGCAGGCCATGTCAGTTTTTTTCTAACTGATGTTGATGGGAGAGACCAAAAGTGCTAATATCTGGAAAGGCAAAAGTGCATATATTTACAGGGATTTATGTAATATTAGAATTTTGAAAATGAAAAACATGATAACAATATTAGAATCCTAAAAGAACATAAAATCTTGTTTGTCAAATAGGAAAAATATTTGAGTTTCATGCTCTCTTACATATTTTGCTTACTTTCCGGCCATTATTTTCTTAATTTTCCCCTTAATCATAAGAAAGTCAACATGCTATGGTGAGATTTTGTCAATAATCAATATCAAATTTGTTGAATGAAAAAGCTACTTGTCTTTTCCGTTTAAATCCTTGCATCCTCAAGTGCTGGTTTGCTTTATCAGTTTGAACTGACGTATATTTTGTTGTTTTCCAGGAGGAACGGAGTAACTCATTGACCATTGGTGTTGCAGATGAGCATATAGGATTGGTTGTTGGTCGTGGTGGAAGGAATATTATGGAAATTAGTCAGGTTTGCTATGCGTAACACTATTCCTAGGTATATGTATATTTTGTGATTACTCTTAAAATAAACTAACTTGAATGACATCTACCTTTTTCAGGTTAGTGGGGCAAGGATAAAGATATCAGATAGAGGTGATTACATATCTGGAACAACTGATAGGTGGGAATTTGTTCACTCAAGATCTTGCTTGCTTCATACCCCCAGTATAACAAAAATCATTAAGCAAATGCCTTGATATAATATCTTTAGTAATAAATGTTTAATACGTGTTTCTATTTTCTTATTACAGGAAGGTTACCATAACTGGATCCCAGAGAGCAATTCGTACAGCTGAATCTATGATATCTCAGAAGGTTGCTTATGCTACTGAGAGGGTGATCGAGTAGTTTGCAAGTGCACTTGTCTGCTGTTAGATGCTTAGTGAATCTGCTTGCTAATTGCTTATACATTTGCTGAATTTTGGGATTTGTTTACATAAATTATCGTCACATGTTATACCTTTGAAGATCTTTATTGTAGCGGGAGAGGGCAGGAATTTTTTTCTTCTTCTTTGAATTGAGAGCGGTCTTATAGAATTTCTTCTCAAACCCTTTCAACAGACAAGTTCAATTGGAAAGTGCATTTGCCGCATTTCCAAAATGTAGCATTTAGAATTATATTATTTTTTTTGTAAGTCAACAGGTGCTAATGTCATATATGATCTGTATCCTCAATCACTAGCCTGAGATTGGGTTTGAGAATTATTTTCTGTGATAGCAATTGATAATCAAGAATGGACATGTGAGTTGTCAGAATCTCGCGCCCGAGTTGTGTTTCTAGTTTTTCATCTTACATTTCAAACGGTGTTGAGACATTTTCAACAGGTTATGATGATTGTTTTATCGGAGTGTTAGTACTCTGCACGTGTACAGTTTTCTTCACAAGGGCACTGATAAAAATAATCATATTTTTCTTGAAATAAAATTAGCATTACCTAAAAAAGGGGCGGTGAAACTTTAAATTTCCCGCTTTTTATTTATTTTTTCCCAATAATAATTAGTTTCCTTTGGTGCTACCCATACTGTTTGAGTGGGGTGGGTAGATCTGCAAAAGTCTGGTTGCTTTGCTGTCCTAGTCTCGTCACACTTTGCAGGTACGCGCATGCGAGATTAAAGTGTTGTAGCCGAATGTAGTTTGGTTACGTCAGATTTGACATCTGCTAGGCCACTTCTTCCTGCGTAGTACTAGTAGTGTTCATGGGCCTCCTAAGTAACTTTTCCAGTTTTGCAAAACAATGATTAAGGCCCCCTATTTGATTATTCCTTCTGAAATTAATAATAAATAACTCATTTAGTTGGTCAATTCTTTCATAACTGTTTAAAATGTATTCTTCTCTATTTTTAGGTTTGGAACTAAAAATTGAAATAGGTTGTAGATGTGATGGTCACAATTCACAAATAACTAAAATGGGATACTCGTCGTGAGGCAAACTGCATATGGCTGGAGTGGAGACGTTGGGTATGATGTGGCAGCATTGGTTCTGAACTTAGTCGACTCGGTTGGCAAGTAAGTGTAAGTAACTACCCATTACCCCCGTTGACTTATTGTGCTGCACTTCAACTCATAGCTAGCCACGAGTTGCACGAATATGTTTATGGTGCTAGGTCCAGGATTTTCCATTTATCTCTTGAGACTGTTTTAATAATTAAGACCATCAAACAATTTCTTTAACCTTTTCTATTTTAAATTTTGTTCTCGATAATTATTTTTAATAAGTTTTTGGAAACAAAAAAAAAAAAGTCAAATCAAACAGAAACCCAAAGTTGCTTGGAGCAGTGTCTCAAACCACTTTAATTTCTATGCATGTTCAGCTAGAAAAAATTCAATTGTCAATAAATCAGAATTTACGATAGGATTAATTTTTCAGATGTTTATTGTAAAAATGAGCAAAGTTATATATATATATATATATATA